CACACACCTGTAATCCCAGCACTCGAGAGGCTGAGGCAGGATAATTGCCATGAGTTTGAGGTGAGCCTGGGCTACACAGAGAGTTCAAAGCCAGCCTGACCTACATAGTGACTCTGTCAAAAAAATAAAATAAAATAAAATAAATAAAAACAAGAACAGAACAACAACAAAAAACTAGAAGCAATATTAACACATACATAACAACAAGAACAATCAAGAAAAACAAAACAAAAATAAGCTGGGCTGGGTGCTGCAAGCCTGTAATCCCAGCACTCAGCCAGCTGAGTGAGGAGGATCAATTCAAATTCAAGGCCAGTCTAGGCTACAAAGTGAGTCCAAACCCAGCCTGAACTGCATAACAAGACCTTGTCTCAAAAAGAAAAAAATAAAAGAGGAAAAAAAAATCCACTTCAAGGCATGTCTCTGCTGTCACTGGTAGACAACAGACCATGTGGATTAATCCCGGCAAGCCAGCGGTAGCTTTACGTCTTTGGGGTAGTGGATAATCCCAGTGAGCCCGCAGCTTTGTTCCGTTTTAGCTCAGGCTGGTTTCTGCCTGTGAGGCTGGAACCTGATTTGCTCAGCCCGCGACACTGTGTGCCTCCTGCTGGCTTGAACTTGGCTCCCTGAGCTTGTGTCCACTTGACTCCTTCCACCTCACCCTGACACTGGAGCCACTAGACGCGGCCGGCCAGCAGCTGTCTGAGTTCCGAGCTCAGCTGGCCCCTCTCCAAGGCGGTCACTGGCCAGTTGCCCTCTGCTGCGGATTAACCAGGATGATTAACTGAACTCAAACAACTCACAAGCCCCTGCAGTCCTGCACGGACTCACACAGCCCCTGCTGTGTGCACGGCTCTGTCCCACTGGTGCACACCTCTGCAGGGACCTCTGGGGTCACCAATAGTCACCGCGCATCTGGAGGTTTGAGCTGCCCTGCCAAGCAGGGAGTCAGGGCTCAGTGAGAAAGTGCTGCCTTTTCTTTCTTCTTGTTTGTTTTCTGCTGCTGGTTTATTCTCTTTTCAAACCATCCTCTCCCTGATTCTCCAGGCTGGTGTTTTTCAGTAAGGACTGGTAGACAGCCCCCCTCTTTGGCTCTATGCTTCTGTTTTTCTCCTAGTTTTTTTTTTTTTGTACCAGGAATCAAACTCATGACTTTGTGCTTGCCAGGCAGGTGCTTTGCCACTGAGCTATATCCCTGGCCCCTAGTTTTTTTGTTTTTGTTTTGTTTTAGACAGAGTTTTGCTGTGTAGTCCAGGCTGGTCTTGAATTCACTATGTCTCTTTCATTTTGTATAGTTCTTTTTGTGCTCTTTTTCTTTTCTATTTCTTTCTTGTTGTCTTTTTGAGACAGGGTCTTGCTATGCAGTTCAGGCTGGACTTGAGCTCGCTTTGTAGCCCACCCCGGCCTCAAACTTGCAACCATCCTCCTGCCTCAGCCTCCCGAGTACTGCAATTATAGGCATGTGCCACTACGCCTGGCTTTCCTTTTGTTAAAACAGGGTCTTGCCATGCAGCCCAGGCTGGCCGCAAAGCTTCAGTTACTCTCCTGCCTCAGCCTCCCAAGTGCTCAGATTATAGGCGTGCGCCACACTCAGCATTCATCCTTGTTTTGATTGAAACTGTTTCACAGATCTATATGTATGTCCAGAAACTTGTCAATATTTACAAATAGCCTATACCTTATTATGTTAATTATACCTCACCTGACTTTAATAATTACCATTGTTGCTCATGGATTGACACACTTATTTTGATCTAATTGTTCTGTTTGCCCAATATACTAAATTACTCTCGTGGCATCCCCTCCTGTGTTTTTGATCTTTTATTGGTAGCACACAGCCAGAGGGCTGTTTGTCCCACAAGACGGCCACACGTTGTGAGTTGTGCAGTGTCCTGAAAGCAAGACTGGAGCTCATTTATGTGGGGCCCCTGGGATTTCCTTGGTCTTCAACTAGTTATCTTTTTATTATTACTTTAGCTGGGATTTCCACACCACAAAGCCAGGTACCACTAAGAAAAAAGTCCAATTCTGCCCAATTCCTGGTAGCAGCGTGAGCTCTCGCTGCACACATGCACCTTGACACCCACTGTCTTGCCTCCCCTCCTGTCTGCTCCACAGGGACGAGCGTCCTAACTGCACCCGACACAAGGCATCCAAGCGAGGTGCAGAAGGGGGCTCCCTTAGGCTCATTCTATGAATGGGGAGGGCTGAGGACCACACAGCACCAAAGAGAATACCGAGATGCACAAGAATGTGCTGTGGGCAGCTGACAGGACCATGGAGGATGGGCAGCAGAAGGATTTCCAGAAGTGAAATCTGTGCTCACAGTGAGTTGGGAAGAGAGCGGTGAGAGCCTAGGGAGGAAATGATCTGTGGGAGCAGCTTGTGCAGAAATAGAAAAGGCCCGGAACAAGTAGTTTTTTTGTTTAGTGCTTGTTGTTTGAGACAGGGTCTCACTAAGCTCAGGCTGACCTTGAACTCACTATGTAACCCAAGCTGGCCTCAAACTCATGGCAATCTTCCTGCTTCAGCCTCTTGAGGGCTGGGATGATGGTCGTGTGCCCCCACACCTGGTGGATAAGTTGTTTTTAAGCAGTGACCATTCAGTTCCAGACTGGGCGCAGGGAGAGGTGAGGGCTGTGGTCAGACCTTTGAGTTCAGGCAAATGTGCTCTGGGCACACTGTTGAAATCTAGGGTTTGGGCTTAAATGTGGAAATAGCAGTTATCTGTTGTGAATGTGAAAAAAAAATACATGTTCATCATAAGCAAAGTCAAGAGAATTCAAAAGATGAATGGAAGCATTTACAGCACCCTTAATCCTCCTACTCAAAAATTGATGGCACATCCCTTGGTAGCATTTCTAGCTTGGTGTATGTTCTACGGATTTCATGCTCTGCATACTGAGTGTTCAAATACGGCAGAGGTGAAGATGCCCTTGTTCATTCTTCAACCCCCCAAGTCTTACACCACACATCTTCGTTATACTATCCCACCCCCTTGATCATGCCCCAGGGGGCCTTAAGGGTTTTTAGCACTCTGTTCTCAACCTTTTTCTTCTCCAATGCAAAAACAGCAATATGGGAGACTTCACCATCAGTTAAGGATGGTTCCCTGCCAGCTGGTATTGAGTTTCTTGGCTTCATCTCGAACAGAGAGCCTGCCTTCCCCACCTCTGTGCTCTCAGTTCCACTTTCCCAGCATAATCCAAAGCTGGCCCCCTCCACAACCTCTCTCAATTTCCCATCTACCAGTATTATAGACAAGCAAGCTAGGCAAACATAGCAGGCAGGTACAGGGGCACTGGGCCCAAGATACAGTCAGGATGACCAGGCCTCGGTCAGATAAGGAGGAGCTGGAGGTCAAGCGTTAACAAGAACCGGGTGAAGGATTAGGTCCAGGGATGGAACAAGTGACGTGATGGGTGGTCAGTACGGTAACTTCTGCTCCTATCTGGAAAAAGTTTTCCTTCTCTGTTCTTTTTCTCCCTTTCATCTTTGGTGCTGTTCCCCTGCCTTGGTCTGTGGTATCTGACTATGCATATATCTGCTATACTTTTATAATAAACTTAAATTTTTAAAAAATCATTGTGAGCCAGGTGTGCGCACACCTGTAATCCCAGCACTCAAGAGGCTGAGGCAGGAGGGTCGCTGAGAATTCGACGCCAGCCTGGGCTACAAAGTGAGTTCAAGGTGAACCTGAACTGTATAGTGATGAGACCCATCCCCCCCAAAAAAAAATCATTGTAGCTCTTTTCTGTGTGGATCCGACCGTCAAATTTCTGTGCCTCCTCGCTGTCCCAGTCAGTTACATCTGCACTCTGCTCTCTGAGGTTGGTTTGTTTGCTTGTTTTTTTGAGACAGCGTTCCCCTGTGCAGTTCAGACTGGCCTTGCCTTGTGATGATTCTCAGCCCTCAGCCTCCCGAGTGCTGGGATTATAAACTAACACCACCACACCCATCTTCCCTGACAGTTCTTGCACTCAGCTGGGACCTCTAATTTAGTGTTTATGGTCTTTTCGAGGCCACCATCCTGCTTTCATGGCTCACATTTCCCAGTTCTGATTCCACAATGAATCACTGCCATTCCCTGCCCTCCCATTCCTCCTGTTGTACCCCCATAGCAAAACACCAGCTCGCTGCCTATGCTAAACTGTACAGGACAGCTGGCCGTGGCTGGAGAACACAAACACGTAGACCAGTTCCGTCGTAACATCACAATCGGAAACCAGGTCGCAGCGCCTGCAAACAAACCCATCCAAGGACCTGGTCAGCTCGCCCTTGCACTCGGTCTCTGGCAGGTACACTAGTCTCTGATTTTCTCCTAACCCTTCCTTTCTCTTGAGATGGATCTTGCTTGTTGTCCTGGCCAGGCTCAAACTCCAGGCTCACGCAGTCCTCTTGACTCCTCCTCACAGCGGGGACTACAGACGCGAGCCACTTGTAATTTTTTCACAACTTTGCTTAAACGGTCAACTGAAGCGTTCTCCGAGGCAGTGATGGCACGGCCCTGCGAGCCTGGGGAAGGCAGATCGTTTAGAGATGTGGCTCTTGCTGGAGGGACAGCGCGGTTGTGAGAGCATATGTGGGTCCCGAGAACTGGCATTTCGGCGAGCCTAGGGAAGCAACCGAGTCGGGGTCGACGGCACCACGGGCCAGACGGAGCGAAGGGCGTGCTCACACCTCCCGTGGACGCCGCCAAGACCGACCGGTTCTTACACACAAGGCGCAGGCGCGACGTGAAGCTAGGCTCCGGCACGGCACTTTTGCGTCACCTTTGGAGCCGGCGCGGGCACTGTGACGTCGTTAGACGTCGGCGTCTGTAGGACGCAGGGCAGGCGGCGGCGCCAGAGAGGATCGCGTCCTCGGCTGCGCACCGCTGAGGCCGGCGCGGCGTTGCCCGTGTTGCCTATTGAGGTGCGCCTGTGGGGAAGACCGCGCGCCGAGGGGAGGAGCCGCGGGGAGGTCTCGTCGGTGTTCGCGCACGCTGCGTCGCGGCCACTTCCGTGTCGTCGACTTCCGGCCGCCGCCATCTTGCTAACGCGGAAGCCCCGGGGTGGGTAGGAGTCCGGGCCGGGGGCGCGGACGGTGCGGCCGGCGCGATGCCTTCGTCGCCGCTGCGTGTGGCGGTGGTATGTTCCAGTAACCAGAACCGGAGCATGGAGGCGCACAACATCCTCAGGTAATGGGCCGCCCCTCTCTCAGGGTCCCGACCCGCCCGGTGCTGGGCGCCTCCCGGAGGCCCCGAGGGCCGAGCCGTGCCCCTTGCGGGCTCCCGGGGACTGGGTCGCAGGGGAGTCAGTGTGGGAACCGAGATGCCGCAGTCACAGGAGCCTCGGGCCCAGAGACCTCTGGGGACGGCGCTGTCGCGCGGGGCCCAGAGGGCCAGGTTCACTGCGGCGCTCGCGCCACGTCGCCCCGAGACAGATCGAGTCTGGGAAAACGGTGACGACCCAGTGTGCTCACGTCTCGCATTTTTGTGTTTGCTGCTGTGTAAGTGTACAACTGTCGTACAAAAGTCCCTCCCCCAAAAAAGTTCAGCAGTTTCTTTCTTTTCTTTTCTTTTCTTTTTTTTGCCTTTTTGAGGCAGGGTCTCGCTATGCAGTTCAGGCTGGCCTTGAACTCACTTTGTACTCCAGGCGAGTCCTGAACTCAGAAGGATCTTCCTGTCTCAACCTCTGCACGAGTGCTGGGATTACATGTGTGAACCACCTCACCTGGCAACAGTATTCACTTACTATCCTTTTTTTTTTTTTTTTTTTGAACTCCAGTCAATTGTGGTACACTTTGAACCTAGCAGATATGTATGATCATTGTTTTTATTTATTTTTTACGATTGCTTTTAAAGTAGATCTGTACTAGGGTTACATTGTGCTGGGTCTTCATTGGTAAATGCATTTGGGTGCTAAACAGCATTTGTGATGGGTGTGGTGGCACGCACCTGTGATCCCAACACTCTGGAGGATGAGGCAGGAGGTTTACCATGAGTTTGATGTCAGCTTGGCATACATAGTGAGACCCTGTCTCAGATAAATAAACAGCATCCATTACAAGTCTGATACAGTACACAAGGGTTACACCCCTGGAATATTACCCAAGGAAAACAAAATTTACTATCTTACATTGGTTGGGATACCTGCTTCTACTGGTGATTCTTTTTTAAACTCGTCTGCTATGTCTGAATAACACAGTCAGTATGGAATCCTTCAAAGGGCTATCTTAAATTTTTAGCCAGGTGTGGTGGTGGGCATGTGTAATCCTAGCACTGGGCTGCTGACCACCTCCCCAGTGTAATAATAATGGTGTTAGGGAGGCAGAAATCTGAGTTTAACCCTCAGTAACCAACACCCCCCGCAAAAAAAAATAAGCTTGTTAATGAAAAAGAAAGTGTTTTATGTTGGCATTGGGGATCAGATCCAGGGTTTCATTAACAAGAAGCTTCATCCTCAGCCCTTTTTTTTTTATTTTGAGATAGGCTCTTGCTAAGTTGTCTAGGCACAACTCAAGCTTTCCATCCTTCTGCCTCAGTCTCCCTTAGTGCTGAGATTACATGCTTGTGTCACATGCTGGGCTCTGAAATACGTTGACGTCATGCCCATCTGGTGCTTCCTGAGACAGTTGCTGAAGATAAGTCCTTGTTTAGTGGCTGTATGTGACCCAGCACAGTGTCTCCTGTGGAGAGGTATGGGATGGTGCAGAAGAGCTCCTCTGAATAGTCACTATGTGGAAGTAATTAATGTATGTGTATATGTGTAAGGGTCTCTGTGTACTGGCCTGAAACCTTCACTCCTGCCTCTGCCTCCTGAGTTCTGGGATTATAGGTGAACCACCTTCGAGGCCACGTCTTTTTTTTTAAAGTGCTGGTGATGATTGGTGATTGACCCAGAGCTCGAGGATACCAAGCACATGCTCTGCCACAGAGATAGATCTCCCAGTCCCAGAACCAGTGGTCTTGAGTTTCTAAGATGCTTATGTATTCCTTTGTTAAAATAGTTTTAATTTTAAAGGTGATATTTATTTGTGAAAGTTTCACTGTAGAAGATACGTAGAAGATGAGGAAAATAGAGATCACTTAGAAAGTACCACTTTGGGGTACATCTTTTTTTTTTTCCCCCCAGTACCGGGAATCGAACTCACAACCTCGCACTTGCCAGGCAGGCGCTATGCCGCTGAGCTAAATCCCCAGCCCCCTGGGGTACATTTTATTGAGTATCAGTGTACACACACACATTCTTAGGGAGACAAAGTACTGTTAACCTGCTTTCCATGTGATATTGTGACTGTTCTTAGTTTTCAGTATGATTTATTTTGGTTTCCTGAATTTTATTTTATTTTATTTTTATTTTGGGGGTTTTTTTCAGACAGGGCCTCACTGTGTAGTTCAGGCTGGCTTTGAACTTGCAGCAATCCTCCCGCCTCAGCCTCCCAATTCTGGGAGTACCAGTGCACCACTGCACCTGGCCTAAATTTTAATATATCTATTCATCTTGAATTATGTGTGGTTACAAAACTATGTTGCAGAAATGCAGAGGAGTTCTATATAGGAGTGAATATTGTTACTGGTTTCCCACTAGTGGACACTTTGTTGGTTGCTGCTTTGGTGTAAATTCCTAAAGGTGGAATTGCTGAGTCCAAAAAGTAGGTGTAAACTGGGTATGGATGTACACTTATAATTCCAGCACTCTGGGAGGCTGAGGCAGGCAGATCACAAGTTCAGCCCAGCCTATGCAACTAAGCAGATTTATTTATTTATTTATTTTTCCCTTTTTGAGACAGGGTCTTGCTTTGCAGTTCAGCCTGGCCTTGAGCTCACTTATAACCCAGGCTGGCCTTGAGCTTGTGACAATCCTCCTACCTCAGCCTCCCGAGTGCTGGGATTATAGGTGTTGGGATTACAGGCGTGTGCTAACATGCCTGGCTGCAGACTCCATCTCAAAATAAGAAATTTGGGGAGGAGGCTGGGAATGCAGCTCTATATGAAAGCTATGTGTTCATTTCCTAGTAGTGCGAAAAACAGAAACAAACGAAACGTTTCACCATGCTTCACACTTTGCTGAGTTGCCGTCCAGAACAGTACATTTATTTATCACCATGCCCGAGCTCCTTATTGTTTTTGTTCATGTTTACAGTACATAATGATTTGTTCATCATGGCGAGTTGGTACATGTACATAACACATCTTAGTTCTTTCTCCCCCCTTCAGTCTCTTGTCCCCTATTTGAAAAGATGTATCTACCCATCTGCTATTATGTCTTTTTTTTCCTTTCCTGTAGGGGGAATTGAACTAGGAAGACCTGCTTGCCAGGCAGGTGATGTGCCACTGAGCTAAATCCCCAGCCCCCTTCCTGTTATGTCTTGTTTTTGTTGTTATTGTTTTTGTCTTTTTGAGACAGGGTCTCGCTATGCAGTTCAGGCTGGCCTTGAGCTCACTTTGTAGCCCAGGCTGGTCTCAAACTCACAACGGATCTTCCTGCCTCAGCCTCCCAGGTGCTGGGATTACAGGCTTGCCCCACCACGCCCTGCTGGGATTTGGAATCTTGTCTGTAGGAAGGACTTTGGATGCTAAAGACCTTCCTTTCCCGGAGCAGACCTGCCTTTGTAGGCTTCAGGGATTGTGCATTTGGTTTTATCCAGATCTTCCAGAAGGCAGTTAAGGGCAAGGGGATTGTGGGAGGAAGGTAGAGTTCTGCCTGAAGTGGATGTTGAGACAAAACTGGGTAGTTCAAGCATAGTAACAATTTCCACAGCTAGAGGGCTGTTGCCTGTTCAGGATTATCTTCTCCAGACTTAACTTTGTAGATAAGAAAGTAGCTGGAGCCCAGAGCAGGACTAGTTGGGCAGGTTTGTACCTGGCTAGTAGCATATTTGCTGATAACTCTTGAGTGTTCCAGCTGGCTGTGTCCTTGCCATCTGGCCACTTGAAGTGCAGGAGATAGAGGGCCTGCCCTGTGCTAGTGCTGTGAGGTGTGATACCACAAGGTGATCAGCAGAGAGACAGGACTCTGGGCTCAGCCCAGGGAGGGGCACCTAACTAGAGGTGCTGACAGAACCAGTGGTGATATGTTTCTTTCAAGTAGGGGTAAGCATCTGCTCTGTGCACGCACACAAATGACCTCATGGTTAGAAACCTTGGTGCTCTGTCCTGACCTTGGAAAAGGCTAGGAATAGATCAATCCTAGGAAATACGTGTGGAGCTGTGTATAGAGTCTAGATTTTGTTGGTGATGGCGCAAATTGTGTTGGTATGTTAACATTCAGAAGAGATTGCTATGTCCCCAGCCTTGCATTGAAATGTTGGTGGTCTGAGCATTTGATTTGGGCTGCATAGATTATAGCTGGAGGGCTGATTAGCAATGAGCCTGGTTCACCTTCATTAGAGTACCTTAACTGCTCTCTCCTTAAGAGATATGCATGCTTTAGGTTTGTGTTTGTGTTTGTGTTTTTGTTTTTGGTAACCCTGGCTGTGAACTCAGGGTAATCCTCCTACCTCAGCCTCCAAAATGCCTCCTAAACGCCACCACTCTGGGCAGAGATATGCATGCGCTTGGAAGGTTGGTGACAGGTCCAGAGTTTCAGTCTTCATCAAAAGCAGGCTTGGTCGCGCACACCTAGAATCCCAGCAGTCAGGAAGCTGAGGCAGGAGGGTCAGTGTGAGTTCAAGGCCAGCCTGGGCTACACAGTGACTTCAAGGACAGCCTGAAGTACATAGCGAGACCCTGTCTCAAAAAGCCAGAAAGAAAGAAAGAAAGAGTTGGGGGCGGGGAGGGAAGGAGGGAAACAGACAAAAAAATACCATATGTAAAAATGCAAATAATGAGCACAGTATAGAACAGTAGGAAATAGAAAAGATACTGTAGCCCATGCTGTTAATTAGAAAATTTTTAAAGGCTGTTTGGTGTTCATTTTTTTCATTATTTTACCTTCCACTTTTGGGATAACAATGTAACATTCTTTTTTTTTTTTTTTTTTTTTTCTTTTTGAGACAGGGGCTCACTCTGCAGTTCAGGCTGGCCTTGAGCTCACTTTGTAGCCCAGGCTGGCCTTGAACTCCACAATGATCCTCCTGCCTTAGCCTCCCAAGTGCTGGGATTATAGGGGTGGGCCACCATGCCTGGCTTGTTTTCTTTAACATTTTCTTTTTCTTTTTTTGTGGGTTGGGGGGTAACAGGGAATCGAACTCAGGACCTTACGCTTACTAGGCAAGCGCTTGTGCCACTGAGCTATATCCTGAGCAACATTTTCAACAATAGCATTTTTGTGTATGTGTTTTGTGTATAGGGGCTGAACCCAGGGCTCTACCACTGAGCCATACCCTCAACTGCATCCCTATTCCTTTTTGAAACTTTTGGTCAGGGTCTTACTGTGTTGCCTTGACTGGCCTTGAACTTGTGATCCTGCTACCTCAGCCTCCTAAGTAGCTAGGATTGCAGGTATGCATCACCATATACTACTGCAATAGCATCTTTATGATAAATTTTTGGTATTTATTTTCTTTTGTTTTTTTGAGACAGGGTCTCACTATGTAATTCAGGCCGGCCTTGAACTTGCAGTAATCCTCTTGCCTCAGCCTCCTACATGCTGGGATTACAGGTTTATGCCACCATGCCCAGCTCAGTTTTTGGTAATTGTAAATTGAGCTGGGTGTGGTGGTGCACACCTGTAATCCCAGCACTCTGGAGGGTGAGGCAGGAGCATCATTGCCAGTTCGAGGCCAGCCTGGGCTACAAAGTGAGTTCAAGACCAGCCTGAACTGCATAGTGAGACCCTGTTTCAAAAAGACCAAAAAGAAAAAAAAAAACCAAACATTTATTTGACCAATCAAATACTTTTCCGGAAGACTAGTCACAGACTATTCAGACACAAAACTCCTCTGTTTTCAAGAGTACTTTGTAGCACCCAAAGCTCTTACGTAAGCAGCAGATTGTCACAGTGTGAGCTGGTCTGTGTGTGTCACTGTAGCAGCTTCAGATGTACTCAGGATTGCCTGAACAGTGTCACAGGCCACCAGGACACACACGGGGAGTGTCCTGGAGGGCAGCTCAGCCTGGGCTGTTGCTGCAGCAAGCAGCAAACCTTGACTGGTTTCTTATGAATCCTATGAACCAGGACCTGAGCAGATGGAAATGTCCTCACGTCCAGCTGGTGGTCAGTCTTTCTGACTGTGGAGGAGTAGTGTTAAAGAGCTGTGGTGTTCACATGTCACCTAACTACAGATTCTGTTTTGATTGGTTTCAACTAGTTTTTGTGTACCTTGCTGTATAAATTTTTTCTGGTTTTTGTTTTGTGTTTTGAGACAGTGTCTGGCCATGTAACCCAGGCTGGCCTAACTCTTCGTGATCCTTCTGCCTCAGTCTCCAGAGTGCTGTGCAACACTACACCCAGCAGTAATTCTCAAAAAATTTGAAATATCTAAACTTCTTATATTAAAAAATTTTAATTACATGCCTGTAATGCCAGCCCTTAGGAGGCTGAGGTGAAAGTATTTGCACCATTTCAAGGCCATTTGAACTATACAGCAAAACCCGGTCTCAAAAAATAAATAAAAATAAAAACTTAAAAGTCTCATGTGTACTATTAGTAAAGTTACTCTGCCCAGCCTCGGTTCATGGCTTGGGAGCCTGTGTCTGTCGTAACCTAGCTGTGATGCTCTTTATCTTGTTTTGTCTTGCAGCAAGCGAGGATTCAGCGTCCGGTCCTTTGGAACAGGAACTCACGTGAAGCTCCCAGGACCAGCGCCCGACAAGCCCAATGTCTATGATTTCAAAACCACATATGACCAGATGTACAATGACCTACTCAGGAAAGACAAAGAACTGTATCCCAAGGCTGCCCCTAGAGAGCCCAGAGGGTCTTCTGGCAGGTGCGGTCTGTGCTGGGCGTGCCTGCCCGCTGCTCTGAGGGAGGTGTCCAGGCGATGCCGGCATGGGCAAGGTGTGCTGGCCCAAGCACTGTTCTCTGTGCTCACCAGCACCCGGGTGTCTCTTCCTGCCGCCCGCTGGACAGCCTGGAGCTAGATCCATGTGGCAGTGGGGGTGTAAACCCTAAATACAGACACAAATGGAACCCTACGCTGATATGGTCAGGTGGAGCTTCTCCAATGGTGCAGGGCCCTTGGAGAGAATGAGGAGAGCACAGAGCCGGTGCGCACCGCTCCCAGGGCCGTGCGTGGGGCTCTGACAGGTGGTCAGGCTGCTGCCCACAGTGGGCTTTATGAGGGAGATGAAGAAGCCTATGTTTGTCACCAGAGAGGGTCATAGAAATAAGAAACGTGAGAGAATTTTACTTCATTTCAGGAGGAGATGAAAAAGGTTGGGTCTACTATTTAAGACTCACACGAGAAGGAAAGTTACTTTTTTTTTTGTTTTTCTGGTCGTTTTTGAGACAGTTTCACTAGGTAGTTCATACTGGCCTTGAACACACTTTGTACCCTAGGCAAGCCTCAGATTTGCAGCAATCCTCCTGCCTCAGCCTCCCGAGTGCTGGGATTACAGGTGTGCACCACTACACCTGACCTGGAATGGTATTTTAAAATGGCTTTCTGTAAGTGGGACACCACACTGTACATTTCCTGATGGCATCCTCACACAGTTTCCAGGGCTGGGGGCATAGCTCAGTGCATGAGTGGACAAGGCTGTGAGCTCAGTCCTAGCACTGAAAGAAAAAAGAAATTCCAGGCCACCTTGTGCTTTGTAATAACCAGAATGGAGCTAGGATGTGTTCTGAGCAAGTGAATGTCAACAAGAAACAGGAAGTGTGTTGTTTCTGCTTTGACAGGTTTTTGTTTTGAGACAGAGTCTTGCTGTATAGTTGAGCCTGGTCTTGAACTCACTGTGTAGCATAGGTTGGTCCCAAACTCACAACAATCCTCTTGCCTCAGCCTCCCCAGTACTAGGATTACAGGTGTGCGCCTCCACACCTGGCACACAGCGATGCTCTTATCTCAGCCTCCCGAGTTCTGGGATCATAGCTGGGATCGTAGTTGTGCGCCACCACTCCTGGCACTTTGGTACTTTTTTGATTACTTTTTTGATTTTTAACAAACTAAAAATGAAGTTGAGCATAGTGGTATGTGCCCTAGCCCCAGCTACTTGAGAGGTTGAGGCAGGAGGAGCCGAAGGTTTTGACCAGTTTGGACAACTTCGTAAGATTCTGTCTCAAAAGTAACATTTAATAAATTGAAAATGGTTCAGGTGGCTGAGGCAGGAGGGTCGAAGTGAGTTCAAAGCCAGTCTAAACTGCATAGTGAGACCCTGTCTTTTTTTTTTTTTGTGGGGGGGGTCCTGTTTTTTCGTTTTTCTTCTGGTACCAGGAATCGAACTCACGACCTTGCACTTGCCAGGCAGGCGCTTTGCCGCTGAGCTAAATCTCCAGCCCCATGAGACCCTGTCTTAAACAAACAAAAAATTGAAAAGGGCTTTGAATATATGTTGGTTAATTAGGTAGCAGGAAGGCCCTGAAGGTGATCCTAACAAGCATAAATCCTGACAGTCAGGCATCTTCTGTGTCTTATTCTCCTTTATTCTCCTCCTTGAGTTGCAGTTGGAATGTTGGTGTGGACCCAGGGTAGAAACATGGGTGCTTTCTGTCAGCCTCTCCCACTGTGGGCTGTGCTGGGAGCCTGAGTCTGGATCGCCAGTGCCCATAACACAGTGATCCGGGTGGCAGGTCCCGGGATCTCGACCCATCTCAGAAGCCAGGCCTGTGTTGGAAAAGATGTCCCCGCAGCCACCTGTGCTGTGTGCTGGGCACAGTTGGGGCTGCTCTGCTCCCATGGTGGTGGAGCCGAGGCTTAGACACCCTCCCTGAAACCCCCTCTGCTCAAAGTGCCCACCGTTTGCTTCCCTCTGTTCCTTAGCCTCACGAAGAGCCATAAAGTCTCTTTCTAGGTGTCTCATTTGGGAGCTAGGTGCTTCCTTTAGTCCTGGAAAAAACTCAAGGAAGAAAGAAAATGAAAATTATTCTTCAGTTAGTATCATCCTGTGTGTATATGTGTGTGTGAGAGGGAGGGAGGAGAGAGAGAGAGAGAGAGAGAGAGAGAGAGAGAGAGAGAGAGAGATACCAGGGCCTTTGCATTGAGCTACATCCCCAGCCCACTTCTCCTTCTGAATTTTGAGACAGGCTTCACTAAGACACTTAAGTTGGTTGCCTAGGCTGGGCCCAAACTTAGAGTCTTTCTGTCTCAGCCTAGGGGTATGCGTGTGCACCACCACATATGGCTGGTACCATTTACTTATTGTGTTTTCTTCTTTTGAGATGGGTTCTTGCTGTGTACTCCAGGCTGACCTTGAACTCACTGTGTAGCCCAGGCTGGCCTCGAACTTGGAGTGATCCTCCTGTCTCAGCCTCTCAAATATTAGAGGTGTGCGCCACTTCACTTGGCTGTCGTACCATTCAATTTTGAAACTCTTGTACTCCGTGAAAGAAATAAAAACAGGTCCTAGTGTGCAGGCTGATACTCCCTTAATAGTGTAAATCTAGTTCTTTTATCTGGTAGCTGACCAGCCTCCCATTTCTGGGTGGGCCAGCACTTACTGACTCTAGTGTCAGCAGTGAGATGGGAAGGGTCTGCCCAGGGAGATGCACCCTGGCCTGTGCCGGGGATTCCGAACCCTCCCCAGGCAGTTGTGCACGGTGGCTCCCCGGCTGACTCCTGTCTGTTCAGAAACAGTGGTGCTGTGTGCGTCCGTGTGTGTTTGGTGCCTTGAGTGGCCTGGGGAGCCTGTAGCCTTCTTGGACACACAGTGACTGTCAGTCCCCCAGTGTTTGCTCCTTGGTAGTACTGTCAGAAAATCATTCTCATGCCGGGTGTAGTGGCACACTCCTGTAATAGGAGACTGAGGCCGGAGGATTGTTGCGAGTTCAAGACCAGCCAGGGCTACAAAGTGAGCTCAAGGCCATCCTGAACCGCATAGTGAGACCCTGTCTCAAAAAAAAGGACCAAAAAATAAAAAAATAAAGGAAAAAAGAAAATTATCCTCAGGAGGCTCTGGGGTGGAGTCACCTTTGCCAGCTTCTTTCCTTCACGAGTGGGCCCTCAGGTCTTCTCATCTTCCCTGTTTGCAGCACTGCCCTTGGCCAGCAGAGTAGGGCAACTACAAGGAGCTCTCTGCAAAGACTTTTTCGGGGGGCGGGTAACAGTAACTGAACTCAGAACATTGCACTTACCAGGCATTGTGCCACTGAGCTACCTCCCCACCACTAGGGAGCGCTCTGGCTGTGGCAGGCGGCCTGGCCAAGGCGAGGACAGTGGATGCCAGCATGCCCCGCAAGGCTTGCAGGTGAGCAGTGCTGTGGGGTGGGTAGTTGAGGACTGCCTGGACAGGGCTGCTTGGCGGGCAGCTTCAGCAAGGGTCCCCTGAAAGCATTACTCAGCATACACGAGAGCCAAGAATGTACAGATCTTTAGTGGATTAACTCATGGTTTACAGAGGTGATGGTCACTATAATCTGTAGTGGAAGGGTAAGACTTTTATTTTTTAGGTTTTTTAGATTTTGGGGAGTTGTTTTTTTAACTTTCTTTTTTGGTACTGGGAATTGAACTCATGACCTCACGCTTGCCGGGCAGATACTTACGCTGCTGAGCTATATTCCCAGCTTTTTGGGGAGTTTTTTGATACAGGGTCTTGCTGTGTAGCTCAGGCCTTTGAACTCACTATGTATCCCAGGCTGCTCTCAGACTAATGGTGATCCTCCTGCCTCAGCCTCCCAAGTGCTGGGATTACAGGCATGTGCCACCATGCCTGGTTAAGACATTTTTGTAAAATTATTTTTAATTTTGAGCCAGATTCTTGCTAAATTGCTTAGGCTGCAATCTAACTAGGAGTCCTGCTTCAGCCTTTGAGAAGCTGGCATTAGAAGTTTGTGCCATGGGTCACACTTGGGACTAGAGAATCTTTTAAATGTAACCCAAAGAGGAAACATGGAGCACTGAATTTAAGCATTATGAAGTACCTCAGTGTTCAAGGGAGAACAATGGGACTTGACTGGAAAATGGTACCTGCCCAAGGGCCAGGCATCCCCCAAGATCACCACTGCCATCTGTACGCCCATGGCCCAGGTCTGTTCCCTTGAGTGGGCCACCTCACAGAACACTTGTGAATGGAGTTGACCCACACTGTACTAAGCATGGTGTTTCCTCTCAGTACTGAGCGAGTACTGCCGTGGAGATGCAAATACTTTTGACTGGTGGGCTGTGTTTGATGAACCCATCCCAGGTTAGAGCAGGGTGGGTGGAAACCCACTGACCGGCTCCGCACCTGCCCAGGCAGTAGCGAACTGTGGGGTGTCAGTGGTTCTCCCAAGCTTGGGGCTGCCATGGAGGGCTGGGGAAGGAGGTGCAGACTGCATCTTACTAGCCCAGAAACAGATCAGACCCTTGCAGGCCACTTTGACATTGTCAGAAAGTGGACCCATTCATCACCTGTCTGGCTTTAATTTCATAAATATTTGGCTATGAATAAGTGATTTTGATTTTTGGCTTCCAAAAGCAGAAGACTTGGCTGCCTGCTGTCCCAGTGGGAATTTGTCTTGCTGTGTGGTTCAGGCTGGTCTTGAACTTGTGATGATCCTCCTGCCTCAGCCTGCCAAGTCCTGGGGTTGTAGGTACCACCACACCTGGCTCAGCAGAAATTCTTGAGGGCAGTGGGTTAATTGGGCTAGGGCTAGAAACCTTATTGAATTTAAACTAGTTTTCCCTCCACTGTGTTGATAATACTAGTGTGAATTAATTAATCATTTCACTGTTTCCTTTTTAGGAATTGGGTTCTCATAGTTTACCTACCTGTGCCGGTGATAGATTTGAATTTACCTGGCTTC